TCATGCTGTTACACATCACTACCATAAAGGGTTGAAACATTGATAAATCAAATACAATGCAGTAGAGTTTACAATCGGGTCGTTACAAACATTTGGGTTTGCTTCCCACTTCACTTGATGTTTTGGCTGAGATGCCTTATTGTTAAGATCTAGTACCTTTTTTAGGAGCTGAATATTAATGCACTTTCATGTCGACAGCTTTCTATGTTTGATAGCAAGTCGGCTAGCTTAAAACTTGCTGACGTATGCATATTTGTTTTTTAGCAAGTTTGACAATTGTTGGCTAGCTTGAAAGTTACTGACGTATGCCTATGTTTGTTAGCAATTTTGACCGTTTTTGCTATCCAGATATTTGCTGATGTGGTGGTTCGGCTAGCTAAAGATTTGATGGCGTATGCATATGTTTGTTAGCAATTTTGACCGTTTTTGCTAGCCAGATATTTGCTGATGTGGTGGTTCGGCTAGCTAAAGATTTGCTGATGTGGTGGTTTGGCTAGCTAAAGATTTGCTGGCGTATGCATATGTGTAATATGTTTGATTGTTGTTGGATGTTAGAAATTTGCTGACGAATGCCTATGTTTGATAGCAAGGCTGACAGTTGTCGGCTAGCTTGAAATTTGCTGACGAATGCCTATGTTTGATAGCAAGGCTGACAGTTGTCGGCTAGCTTGAAACTTGCTGACGTATGCATATGTTTGATAGCAAGTTTGACTTTTGTTGGCATGCTAGAAACTTACTTATGTATGTCTATTTTTAATAGCTAGTTTGACAGATGTCGGCTAGCTAGAAACTTGATGACATATGTCCATATTTGATACCTAGTTTGACAGTTGTGGTTAATAGATAGATTGGCAGTTGTCGGATAGTTAAATACATTTAATAGATAGATTGGCAGTTGTCGGATAGCTAAATACATTTAATAGATAGATTGGCAGTTGTCGGATAGCTAAATACATTTAATAGATAGATTGGCAGTTGTCGGATAGCTAAATACGGTTAATAGATAGATTGGAAGTTGTTGGTTATCTAAATACGGTTAATAGATAGATTGACAGTTGTCGGTTAGCTAAATACGGTTAATAGATAGATTGGCAGTTGTCGGATAGCTAAATACATTTAATAGATAGATTGGCAGTTGTCGGATAGCTAAATACGGTTAATAGATAGATTGGCAGTTGTCGGTTAGCTAAATACGGTTAATAGATAGATTGACAGTTGTCGGTTAGGTAAATACGGTTAATAGATAGATTGGCTGTTGTCGGATAGCTAAATACGGTTAATAGATAGATTGGCAGTTGTCGGATAGCTAAATACATTTAATAGATAGATTGGAAGTTGTCGGATAGCTAAATACGGTTAATAGATAGATTGGCTGTTGTCGGATAGGTAAATACGGTTAATAGATAGATTGGAAGTTGTCGGATAGCTAAATACGGTTAATAGATAGATTGGCTGTTGTCGGATAGCTAAATACGGTTAATAGATAGATTGGCTGTTGTCGGATAGCTAAATACGGTTAATAGATAGATTGGAAGTTGTCGGTTAGCTAAATACGGTTAATAGATAGATTGGCAGTTGTCGGATAGGTAAATACATTTAATAGATAGATTGGCAGTTGTCGGATAGCTAAATACATTTAATAGATAGATTGGCAGTTGTCGGATAGCTAAATACATTTAATAGATAGATTGGCAGTTGTCGGATAGCTAAATACGGTTAATAGATAGATTGGAAGTTGTCGGTTAGCTAAATACGGTTAATAGATAGATTGACAGTTGTCGGTTAGCTAAATACATTTAATAGATAGATTGGCAGTTGTCGGATAGCTAAATACATTTAATAGATAGATTGGCAGTTGTCGGTTAGCTAAATACGGTTAATAGATAGATTGACAGTTGTCGGATAGCTAAATACATTTAATAGATAGATTGGCAGTTGTCGGATAGCTAAATACGGTTAATAGATAGATTGGCAGTTGTCGGTTAGCTAAATACGGTTAATAGATAGATTGGCAGTTGTCGGATAGTTAAATACATTTAATAGATAGATTGGCAGTTGTCGGATAGCTAAATACGGTTAATAGATAGATTGGCAGTTGTCGGATAGATAGATTGGAAGTTGTCGGTTAGCTAAATACGGTTAATAGATAGATTGGCAGTTGTCGGATAGCTAAATACGGTTAATAGATAGATTGGCAGTTGTCGGATAGCTAAATACATTTAATAGATAGATTGGCAGTTGTCGGATAGGTAAATACGGTTAATAGATAGTTTGACAGTTGTCGGATAGCTAAATACGGTTAATAGATAGATTGGAAGTTGTCGGATAGCTAAATACGGTTAATAGCTATTTTGACAGTTGTCGGTTAGCTAAATACGTTTAATAGCTAGTTTGACAGTTGTCGGTTAGCTAAATACGATTAATAGCTAGTTTGACAGTTGTCGGTTAGTGGTTAGCTAAATACGGTTAATAGCTATTTTGACAGTTGTCGATTAGTGGTTAGCTAATTACGTTTAATAGCTTCTTTGACAGATGTTGATTCATTTATAATCTTAGTCTTGACAGTATGGTGTTAAACCTTAAAAACAAATGACATATTTTGTGTTTGTTGTTCAAGGTCGACAAAAAGAATATGAAAAGAAATTAGGCTATAGTGCAATAAATGTAGGCAGAACAGCTACCGCAGGTTGCTCTTTTTCCTTATCCAATTCCATTGCTCTAAGGAAATAATTCTAAAACAATTTAAATTGATCAAGGAAAACAAACTAGTCATGGACTGGATTTTTATTTGAATAGTCATCACTGATCTATCCTCATACGCCGAGTTGGAACGCTTGTCTTTTTCTTGGCAGTGGAATAGCTCAAGTTTGTGGCGAGTTGATTGTCGTCTGCTAGACGATTAGGTTCCCTAGGTTCGAATCTTCTTTAAGGTTAAATAAAAACATTCTGATGCCTTTGCCAGAGTGTAGTCGGCCCAGTGTCGGCTCTCACCCACTTATACCCAACAGGTGCTGGTTAAATATTTATTACAGGCTGTATGACACTTTGTAACTTTAGCGGTTACCAAAAGGAAATGCACAAGAAGAGATAATTATTTCGTTATTCTAGTAGGCCTATAAGTAATGTTTTTCTTGGTGATGTTTTTTTTAGCATTTTATGGCATAAATTTCCCTCACAGACAAGTTGAAGATTTTACACATCATATCATTTGGTAATAAAGATGCTTATTTCAATTTGATTTTACAACAAAATATCACACAGGGATAGGTCACACAGGGATAGGTCACACAGGGATAGGTCAAAAATTATCTTCAAAAAGAATTAAACATATCGGAAATGTCAATACAAATATTGGAATAAAATCCAAATGTTAACATATCGAATATGTCATTAAAAAAATCGAA